AGAAAGCAACTCTCTTTTATTTTTTCCATTTTTGAGGAATTTGGCTTAAATCTCAGATTATTTTGGAGTTAAGACCTTCATTGTTGGCACTGACTTTCTGCCTGCTGTAATGGGATACCCACTTTGAAATGAGCTGTTGGAGAAAGAGGATTTGGGTGGGACTAACATGCCGTGTCCAGGTTACTCTTCTGAGATTAGTGCCTGTGTGTGCCTAAAGAAGTGAGTTTTTAAGAATTCCTGAGTTTGGGATAGAAGGATCATTAAGATTCCAGCTCTATAACTTTATGTTTTTGTTTTTTTTTCTCTCCCTTGGAATATGTGGCCAATTCCTAAGAACATAATGTGCAGCTCTAAAAAGTAGAGTAAGAAGTAGTAATGAGCATTTGATACGCTGAGTACTATTTAACTGGTTTACGTACACTTGTATCAACTCATTGAATTCTATCAACAATCCATGAAATAGGTGCAATAATTGTTCGCATTTCCAGATGAGAAAACTGAAGAGAAAGAAGTGAAGACATTTGTCCAAGGTCACACAGCTAGTAAATGCCAGAGCTGGGCAATCTGATATTAAGGTTTATGCTCATAATCACTAAATTGATTACAAAAGAAAAAAAAATGTACTAGTATTAATTTTATTATCTTTTCAGCTATATTGTCTTAAAAATATTTATTGGCTGTGTTAGCAGCCCATAATTTAGGGAAAAGCAAGGACCTCTGAAAGTTTAGGTATGTAAGTACAGTTATAGTAGATTGTGCTTACTATCCACCTTTAACTAATTTACTAGCTACTCTGGAAGCACAGTGGTTACACATCAGGCTGTGAACCTCAAGGTCCACAGTTCGAAACTACCAGCTGTTCCACAGGAGAAAGATGAGGCTCTCTGCTCCCGTGAAGATTTACAGCCTCGGAGACCCTGTACAGGGTCGTTATGAGTCAGAACTGACTTCACGGCACTTAACAACAACAACAATCAGTTAGCCTAAGGAGCTCTGTAGCATAGTGGTTATAAGTCATGCTGCTAACCTTTAAGGTCAGCAGTTCAAAACTACCAGTCATTTCTTGGGAGGAGGAGGCTTTCTGCTCCCGTTAAGATTTACAGCCTCAGAAACCCTGTACAGGGTTGCTATGAGTTGGAACCGGCTCCACGGCACACCACCTCCACTGATCAGATGAAAAAGCATGTGGATTTGTTTAATACGTGTGAGTGAGGGAAAATGAGAGAGAATGTGTCTGAGATGAAAGATGGGGTGAAGGATGAGGGTGAAAGAAAAGGAAATTTCTAGGTCGACTCCTTGAAACCTTACAAACTGAGGCTAAAACTATGGAGTACGTTTGTGGTCATTACCTGAATATTAATCTATAGCTTCATCATGGAAATAAGAGTATTTTTTTCCTTCAACAATTTTATACATAGATAGTAATATTTCAGTGAGTTCACTTTCATAATAACCTCATTATAGATGGCTGCTCCTGATTTGGAGTTCTGGTGTGGTACTGGAGGATAAGCACTGGACTATGAGGTCAGTTTGAACTGAAAGGCTGGTGGTTCAAACCTACCAGCCACTCCTCAGAAACCCTAAACAGGGTCACTATGAGTCAGAATCGACTCTATGGCATTTAACAGCAAAAAATTCCTGTTTTATGTTGAAGCTCACAGTAACAATCAACTTTCCAAAAATTTCTAGGCTAACAATTTGTAATCTAACACAAATATGCAAGTCAGATAGCAAAAGGTCCTAGAGGGAGTTGTTAGGAGTAATTCTACAAAACCAGAATAAAAATAGAGCCATAGGTCGAACACTGCGTACTTTGAGACGGTAGATGGTGAAGTTCATTTCATTGACATGCCTCTGAGCTGCGGCACCTGATGACACACTCAGTAGACCCGATTTGCTTTCTTCTATTGAGAGTGCCGCTAACCTTAGGTCATCAGTCAGATCCCAGATGCATTTGTCACAGCCTGCAGGTAAGAAGGAAATCACAGCTCTTTAAATTCACCTTGGAAAGTCAATCTGTAAGCATGTTGCTCTAAATGAAGGTGTACATCCCTGGTTAATATTACTCTTATTTTTTTGCCTGAGAAACCTCCCTGGTCCCCAGAACTAAATCTTTATACTCAAAGAGGGAGTAGACCCTAAGATGAACCAAACTGTACGTGGGCACTGTCTCCATGTAAAATATAACAGGAAACAGACAACACTTGAAACTGGGTACATCAGTCCAAATGAACTAAGAAAGGAAGCCCAGAAGGACAAACTACCTGAGATGGTGGATAAGGAGAAGCCTTACATATATATATTTTTCCCCCACTTCTCTTTTTAAGAAAATTACCATTTCAACCACTGCTACATGTACAGTTCAGCCACATTAAGTACATCACTATGCCATACAACCAACAATTTTCTTTAGTGGTGGGAAGATAATTTGGAATGCTTCTATTCATTTCAGGTTCTGGTCTTTTGCTTGGCATCAGCTGGTAAAGACAATTCCTTGCCTGGCACCTCTCTCTCACCTTTCCTTTTTTCGGTATCCAGGTGCCTTCACCTCACCACATGGATGTTCTGTTCCTTTCCATGGCCCAACCTCCTGTCTGAATGAACATCTCAGCAGAAACAGATCTATGGGGTGTCACTGTGTGTGAATGATGTGTGTCTGATCTGTGAAGATGGTGCCAGAGACCAGACTGAACCTTGGCACCAGGTGAGACAGGTCATAGTTTTCCTGCATTGTTCTTTTTCATGTGTGAATTTCTCTGGCCACTGTCATCATCCCCAAGAACCCAGAGCCCTCCTGCGACATACTAAAAAGGGCCTGGCTTTGGAACCCGTCTTGACCACCTTTTAAAACATGCCTGTTCCCAATCTCTGTCAGTTATGTTCCCCTCTAAAGAACTGATGAATGCAGACCAAAGGGTTAATGGTTGTTAATATGTTAATGTGTTATTTAAAGTTTAAGATGATTCCTTAGTCTTAGCACATCAGGCTTATGGGGGAAATGATTAGGCTCAGTCAGGCATCTTGATGTCCTTAAATGACCTTGACTAGGTTATACCTATCCCATCAGTGTGTAAATTATGTCCTGTATGTGCCACCTAGCCTGTGCCATCTTCAAAGACTTGAGAGACTTCTTGCCTTTACTGATAATATGATTCTCTGAGTCCAGTGGGACTGAGAGGTGAAGAGACTTTTGTTTGGAGGTGGATGTTTCTTATGTTAAAATAGTTCCTATACCAAATTGATCTCCTGATTATGTCCTGATCATCAAATCATGACATGATGGCTCATGTTAGAAAAACCCAGAAAAGAGAGATGGCAGCTGTACTGAAGGCCTGAATATTTTATTTCAGGTTCCACTTCAGGTCTATAGTGAGTTGGGAAGAGTCACTTAAATCTCTTTGTTATCTCAGTTTTCCCAGTTATTGTAGAGCATTATCTTCTATATCATATTATCCATGATTTACTACATAATATAGAAAAAGAAGCTAAAATGATATCTCTTTTTGGGAATTATATTTCTAGCTTTGTATTTACTCACCAGTTAAGATACTGAGTTCAAAGACTTGATAAAAGAACTTTTTTAAAATAGAGCTATTTAAATGTATTTTGAGGTTTAATTGGAATTGCTTATTAGAATTAAGCAAACCACCAAGTATCTCTTGTTTAGGGTCTATTTAATTGAAGCACAGATAGAGTTAAAGCCAGGGACAGGAGTCAACCCAGATAGAGCCATATTGCATAGCTCTCCCTAATCCCACACCTGCAGCATATTAGAGAAAGAGGGGTTAGTCAATCATGTACTGTTATTTTTACTTATGGTTGGGCAGTCCATGCCTGTAGGGGTTTCAAAACTGTCTTCCAAGCAGTCTCCAGTTACGCTGTCACAAGGGCCTCCCCTACAATTGCACACTGTGGAAAGCAAAACCAAGAGATTAGGGATTCATTTCTTAAAGCTAGAACTACAGCAATGTTTTCATGGTTTCTAGAAATACTGGTTATCAATGTATAGCTCTTTAATGGGGATTAATTTCATTCTTCCTTAAAGCCTGATGGGATCTCTGTATGATAACGGGATTATGTCCTCACCCAATGAAGCCCTAGTCCAACTAGACTTGCAAAGGTGATTCTAAGGAGTATGTGAACCTACATTCTCTTGGATTTTTCTCTCAACTCTTTGGGATTCTGACTTGATTGTATAACTGCTTTAGTCCAAAAAGATCTTGGGTAGTTTTCATAAGATAAATGACCACCGTGGGGTGCATCATTCAACTTGAAACTGGAAGCCATCCTTTCATCACTGACTGATTATCCAGTTAAGTCCAACTTCAGGGCTGATCACTGCCAGGTGAGAGGGAGGAGCAGACTAGTGAGGAGTGAGTGAGGGTGCCCCAGAGCAATTCTTGACTCCCACAGTGTTTGATTTTTGGCAAGAGAGGCTCCAAACCTCTACATCTTCACTGGGAGAGGGAAGTCATCAGTGGGATAGCCAGGAATAATATGGAAAGATTTAGGAACATATTTATAGGCATTTAGGAGATCAAAGAATATATTATTAATCCACTGATTTTTTTCAATAATACCTTTTGGAAAAACTAAAAGCAAAAAGAAAACCCTGATCTCATCAGACTTAATTTTCCACTGAGCTTCTGAGTAAAATTTAATTTGTAATATTCCAAAGGGAGTTCCTAAGCTCTCTATCGGGGGAGGTGGAGGCAGTGATGGAGTGTTTCAGTGGCTAACCTTCCACATAGGATTAGGTCCCTGTTCAATGCACCTTGTGCATAGCTTCCACCCATCTGGTTTTGGAAGCATGCATGTTGCTATGATGGAGTCCTGGTGTTGTGTTGTAGGATAAGCAATGGACCACCAGCTGCTCCTCAGAAGCCCTATACAGGGTGGCTATGAGTTGGAGTTGACTTGACAGCAATTAACAACAACAACAACAGCATGACTAGGCTTCAGCAGAGCTTCCAGAGTATGACAGACTAGGAAGAAAAGCCTGGCAATTTAATGCCAAAAGTTAGCCAGTGAAAACCCTATGGCTCACAACTGTCTGATGGGGTCACCATGAGTTGGGAGCTGACTCAATGGTAGTTAATGACAGCAACAGGCTATCTAGAATTGTGAAATTTTTTCTCTAATTTCTTGACTGTCTTTTCAGAACAATAAGAAAGTTAGCTTCTAGGAGAATGTACGTATATTACATTTCAGGTGTTTAATGTTTCCCCAGATTTATTAGAAAATTCAACAAGATCATGCTTCAATGCTTCTTAAAAAAATTACTGTGCTGTAGGTGAAAGTTTGCAGAAGAAATTCATTTCCCACTGGACAGCTTATATATAAAGTGGTCCATGATGTTGGGTGCATTCTCCACAAGGTGTTCACACTCTCCCCATTTCACCTTGGGTCCCCCATTTCCTTCTGTCCAGATTTTCTACCCCTTCCTGCCCTGGGGCAAATGTCCTTTTGATCTTGTATAATTGATTGTTTTAAGACACAAGTTCCTTTGTCCTGTTAATGTTATTTTATGGGCTTATTGTTTGGCTGAAAGATGGTTTCTAGGAATGGCTTTATTTTGAGGTCAGAAGGCTTATAGTCTTAGTCTGGGGTGGGAGTCAGGGGGTTCCTTTAGTCTCTGTCAGAAACAGCAAGCCTGATCTTATTTATTAATTTTATTTTTCCTACATTTTCCCCTGCTCTGTCCTGGGCCTTTTGTTGTGACTTTATGGCTTCTAACATTAGCTTCTCTTCTCAGAGTGATCTGAATCTTTGTAGTTAAAGCATGCTTGTATGTCTAGTAAATACATTGAGAGGCAAGGCATATAGTTTAAGGTCTTGGTTTTGTCATGCCTCTCTAATGACTGCTTTCATTCCCTTTAGTTTGGTAGGACACAGATCCTGTCTTCCCTCGACCATTCTTGGTGTTATGCCTCTATCATGTTGCTTGCTTATAGGCATGTTTACTTTTATTGTGACTTGACAGGTCATATACATTTCCTTCTCAGTGATAAATCCTGACTTAAGATCTTTTCAGGTGGGAATCGGATTCAGTGAGAGGACTTCCTATAAAGGCATGCAACAAGAGCAAGATATTGCATCCTGTACCTCTCATTCCTCAAAGTCACTTAAAAGTAAGACATTACCTCAGCCTTTCTGTACTCCTAGACGAAAGCAATTTCACTTTACCTCTGAAGAGCTTCACTCCATGTGGTAAAGAGATTGCAGAAACCATGAACAAAATGCCTCCTTTTCAGTTAAAATCTAACCAGGAAGATTTCCTTTGCTATTTCCTGAAATAGTTACTCTGCAAATTTGAGGAAAGTGTGGCAGAGGATGATTAAACTTTACCCTTGATTTGCTAATCAATTTTGCCAAAATGTAATTTTATCATGCATAACTGACAGAAAGGATTTGGGCTGCAAAATAAGAAAATATTTAGATTGATTTCATTCAGTCCTCTGGTTAAAGAGAGATAATTCCTAGAAGTCTAATATTGAAATAATAATAAAAAAGATAAAATTATAAGACAAAATTTCATTGTGTTAGCATTTCATGGTTCATCTTATCAGAGTTAAGTTATTCTAATAGCTTTCATAAAACATCTTGTCTTTCATGAATTTCGGATGCACATTCCTGAGGATATATACAATGTTCATAAGAAATCTTGTCTCTCATGAATTTCAGATGCACATTCCTGAGGATATACATTGTTCTAGAAAAGCGGTAAGGGGGCACATGTTGGGCTTTTCATCTATGTTCATTATTGTCAGACATCCTGCATAATCAGGTCCATGCTGGCCAGGCAGTGGAATTAGGTGTTACAGTACAGTACCTGCACAGTTCTTGGCTCTCCTGGCGTCCCCATAGTAGCCAGGGGCACAGCGTTCACACTTGAATCCCGTGGTGTTACGTAAGCAATTCCGACACTGCCCGGTGACTTCATCGCAATCTTCAAAAATCAGGTTTGGATCTGAATTTCCACTGCAGTCACATTTCTTACAGGTGCTTCCAATCAGTAAGGGGTTCCCATAGTAACCAGGAGCACATCTGAAGGGGAATCACAGCTTAAAGTGTTAGCAGTCATCATTTTTCTTCCTTTTTGTCTTCTTTGATGCTACAAGAAAGGTGTGGATGCCCTCCACAAGTCCATTCCCACTCTTTCTATCTTCCTAATGGACCAGACTTTGTTTCTAAGGAAGCTCTCCTCCATTGTGTTTGAGATTATTCCGTTTGGCCAGGCCTTCAGATGCAGAACTGTTTAGATCTGCATGGTGTAAAGAGCATTTTTGGCCATCCCAAAGACTGGTGTGCAGGGCTGGCCTATGATAGATGGGGTCAATATGTTAAATGTACTGAAAAAGAAACACAGAAGAGCACAGCTAAGAATTGTCTTGACCAAAATGTTCATAACACACCTATTGAGAAATATTGGTCTTTATCACCGTCGACCTCACCACAGTTCCAATAACCCAAGTCTCTGCCCATCAATGCCTGGCATTTCTCTGGCCCAAAGGGATGGACTCAGAAAACAGGCAGTCAGAACGTAGCTCAGAGTTCTTGTTTAAGGGTGTGGGAAGGCATTCTCTTCATCTGCAGGCAAAAGAAGAGGCAAGTAGCAGTCTTAGCTGTTGGCAACCAACTTGTGACTGAAGCCAGCCTGGAGACAAAGCCGAGGGCAGAGCTGAGAGTAACACAGATAGATTTACAACAATACTGCTTTTCTTCTGGACATTTTAGATATTTGTGCCTACAGAGGAGAGGTACCTAACTGCATTTGTGGGGTGAGCAGGTGTCTCTGGTTATGTGGACTGGGTCCTGAACAAGGGAACATGGCCAAGCTGGAGGAGAGTGGATACTGAAACCCATCCAGCCTTTGTTCACTTTGCCAAGCTATGCACTCTGGGCATTGCTGCTTTTGTCAGAAGGAAGAAATGCCTTTCTCAAGTATTTATGAAGGTGCTCTGTGGCCAGCAGAGGCCCTGGTGTTATGGGACTTGAAGCCCCATTTAAATGCACCCTTGCCAGATTGAGCACTGAAGGAAAGAGGGACTTGTGTTGCCAGACACCCTGTTTTTAATGAAACAAGTGGAAACTGGATTTTTATGTGACATCTCAATTGTTAAATTGGCTCAAGCTTTGTAAGAATGTGGTCTGGGCCAAGGTGCATATGTTTGCTGACTGGCTATGAACTCTCCTCTGCTGTGGACCCTAAACTAGTATAGAATACTGGCTGAATGGAGTCAACAGAACTTAACAAACAACAACCTTTTATAAAGGTTTCCATTTAAAGTAAGGGAGTCCTGGTGTGACGCTGTGGGCTAATGCGTCAGACTGCAAAGTCGTTTGAACTGCAAGGTTGGTGATTCAAGCTCACTATGAGTCAGAATGAACTCGATGGCAAACAACAACAACAACAACAACAACAAACCTTTTATTAGGAGTCCTGGTGTGGCGCTGTGAGTTAATGCACTGGACTGAAAGGTTGGTTTGAGCCACAAGGTCGGCGGTTCAAGCTCACCAGCTGCTCCTTGGAAACCCTATACAGGGTCACTGTGGGTTGGAGCCAACCTGATGACACTTAATACCAAGCAACAACCTTTTCTAAAGGTCTCCATTTAAAGTAAGAGGATCATGATTCAGAACATTTGACAGAGAAATGAAAGAAAGAATATCCATAACCCAGAACTCTAACAAAATCACTGTCCAATTTTTGTGTCTGTTCTTCCAGTCTTTGTTCCTATGTCTCAATCTTTTGTGTGTTTGTGTAGTTGTGATAATGGTGTTCATTCAATCCTTATATTCTTTGTTTGCATAGTTTAGACTTTCACCTAGGTGAGCTTATGAGGGGGCTTCAAAAAGTTCATGGAAAATGGAATGAAAAGACAATATATTTTTTTCCAGGAACAATTTGAAGGCCCTCATGTTTAGTTATCACAGCCTTCTGGGAGGTAGGTCACATATTCCAGCTCTCTAAGAGGCTACTTTGGATTTCCAGGGTCACATTTTTAGGAAGTCACAGAACATAGCCTGACCCTGATGCTCTTCCCTTCACTCCACCCTAGAGCACACTGATGCTGCTATAAATGAATGAATGAATTCATCCAACAGAAGCACAATTCATGTCCATTTTATGTAAAGGATGGAAGAAGATAGGAGAGGAAAATACACAACTGAAGCTTTGAAAGAACAGGAAATGAATCAAACATCATTATACATAATACTGTGGACTTTAGCAATTGAGATCTATGAAAAAGATTAGAACAAATAGAAATGCTACACAACCCACAAAGAGATGCCCTAAGAGGAAATGTTCAATGAGCTTTGTTATTCACATGCTCCCATATCTTTATGTCTCAGATCTACAGACCCTCTGGTTGTGAAGCCAGCATAAATTTATTCCTTTATGGGATGCATGGCTAGATAGAATTTCTTTCTTTTTCTGTAGTTCATTACCAGAGCAATCTAAGGCCCATTGATTGACATGGGGCTCAGACCTACCATTTCAGTATGTAGCCCGAAATCTTAAGGTTCAGGAGATTGAAGGGACTTTTCTTTCAAATTCCTAGAGGCCAAATTCACAGTTACTTCCCCAAACTCAGTTTTCTTTTCTATTTAACTCCACACCATTTTACGTCTGTAGTTTGTCTCCTGGTCTTCCACAAGGGAAGAACTACACTGTCTACTTTATAAGTCAGAATCTCAACTACAATGGGAATCTACTTGGAAGTATCCTGAGCTTCAAGAACATTGCTTGGTGGTAGATTGAGAGGCAGCTCTGGAGTCACATTTTAAACACCAGTCCCTACAGATTTGAAGGACTGAGGTATGGTGCTACTGGTTAATGCACTGGACTGCAAGGTTGGTTTGAATCACGAGGTCTGTGGTTTAAGCTCCCCAGCCATTCCTTGGAGACCCTATACAGGGTTGCTATGAGTCGGAACCGACTTGATGGCACTTAACAACAATAGATGTGGAAAACGCCCTGGTGGTGGTGTGGTTTACACATTGGGTTGCTAACTGCAAGATCAGCTGTTTGAATCCACAAGCTGTTCCTCAGGGGAAAGATGAGGCTTTCTGCTTCCATACAGATTTACAGCCTTGGAAACCCTATAGTGAGTTGTTGTGATTCGGCATGGAACTGACTCAATGGCACCATAGATGAGGAAACTAGAACCCAGAGAACTAAATGATTTGCTCAATGTTGTTGCATTGTTGTTGTTAAGTGCCCAATTCATAGTGACGCTGTATACGATTTCCAAGGTTTTTAAAATCTTTGCAGGGGCAGAAAGTCTCATCTTTCTCCCGTGGAATGTCTGGCAGGCTCGAACATTGGACCTTGTGGTTCGCAGTCCCATATTGCATGGCTAATATCTATTGTAAGGAGCTCTGGTAGCATAGTGGTTGTGAGTCGGGCTGCTAACCTCAAGGTCTGCAGTTCAAATCTACCAGGCACTTCACAGGGGAAAGATGAGGCTTTCTGCTTCCATAAAGATTTACAGCCTCAGAAACCTTATGCAGGGTCACTATGAGTCTGAACTGACCAATATCTGTTGTGGAAATTCAACTTTATTGTTCTTTCCATTCCACAAATCTGGCATTGATGAATTAACTAATTAATCATATGGTGATATGTTATTGTTGTTATGTGCCATGGAGTCATTTCCAACTCACAGTGACCCTGTACAAGGTTTC